TCCACTAAGTGCACGGCAGTGCCCTCTCAGGCAGCATTTGCCAACCCAGACACCCCTCATGGCCCTCAGGAGGTGAGACTGGAGTTGACCCCAGGCAAGTACATGATCATCAGCTGTGTTGTGGCAGATAGGACAGGCTGTTTGCAGTGGGGCTTGCTGATCAAGCCCATTTTAGACCTGGTTTGTTGACACAGTGCTAGATCTTTGCTGCCTGGGCTTGCCGTTCTTCACTTGCAGTCCTCTGCCTTCCTGGTGTGGTAGACATCTGAAAAGAAGAGGTGCTTTGAAGGCTTTACCTATGCCAGTAGACAGCAGAGTGAGGGAACTAGTGAGAGTGCATCCTACTTGTTCTCCCTGTTACACAAAGTGTGGCCCATTGGCTTTGTGCTTCTTAGATAGCTTCCGTCCAAGTTAATTCAGGTAAGTCTCTATGCTGTGGGACCACAAGTGGTGCCTGAAATAGTGTGTAGACAATCGAGCCCCTCACACAGTTGAACACACCTCAATTCCTGTCCTGGGGTGAATTTCTTCTTGAGCATTTGCAGAAGAAAGACTTGCATGCTAGGGAGGATACTGAGAAAAACAGCATTAATGTGTTTGGCTCTTCTATGTGAAGCAAATTACCTCTTTCTGCATCAAAAAAGCATTGATATGATTCAGCCCCGATGCTAAATTGCTTGGGTGGGTCCTGAGAGCTTTCCAAGGGCTGGGCGATTTTAAGTGTCAGAGGCTTTCAGTAGCTCTGGCTTTCAGTTTAAGGGCACTAAGGTGACAGTTTTATTTCTTAAAACTCTGGAACAAATGACCGAGATTTCGAACCATTTATAAAGGTAAGCTGGTACCTTACATCACAGAATCATAGAACACCAGCTTGGAAGGGACCTCAAGGATCATCTGGTCCAACCTTTCTTGGCAAAAGCACAGTCTAGACAAGATGGCCCAGCACCCCATCCAGCTGAATCTTAAAAGTGTCAAAGGTTGGGGAATCCACCACTTCCCTGGGGAGATTATTCCAATGGCCGATAGTTCTCATTGTGAAAAATTTTCCGCTAGTGTCCAGTTGGCATCTCCCCAGGAGTAACTTGCACCTGTTACCCCTCATCTTTTCCATGTGACTCCTTGTAAAAAGTGAGTCTCCATCTTTTTTGTAGCCACCCTTTAAGTATTGGAACATGGTGATAATGTCTCCCCTAAGCCTCCCATGCCCAATAGTGATTACTTTTTCCTAGGGATAATCTAGGAATCCTTTTAGTTACTGTGATGTTAAGCCAGGCTTGGGAAGTTCAGTGTCTTTACTAACACTTCACAGCTCAAGAAAGATGATGTTGAAATTTAGATATAAAGAAAGTGTGAAAAAGCTAATATTGCTCATGACATAAGGAAATTCCCAACATTTGGCATTTATATTTTAATGTGAGTGAATATGGGGCCTTGGTCCTTTCCTTTATTCCAAAGAAAAAGAGAGGAGGGAGAGCAGCGGCAGCAGTAACTAGTACAGTATGTGAGCGGCACAGCAGTAACTGGCATATGATCCAAGCTGGCACTAACTAGTGAAGCTTGAAGGAATTAATTGGTTTTATCTGGACCTTTCATGTGCTGAGTCAATGGCTGTCCCTGTCTGTTTAGATCGCTGCTGTTACTTAGCCACTCAAAGCAATGACATTTACACTGGCGTCCTAATGCTAATACGGGGGGGGAAATTGCCGCAAAATCGTAAACAAGTTTTCTTTTTCACCAGAGTGGGTTGGCTGTCCTCTCGGGCGTGCATCAGCCAGAGTCGGGGTCAAAAGAGGCTGCAGCGGTGGCGGAAAGTGTCGGTTTATTTGTTGTGTGGTGGAAACAGAGCTTCTGTTGTTGGTGTAAAAATGCAGGGA